GCTTCAGCAGAGCCCTGAATGACAAACCCCCACCGTTTCGGACCAGGACTGACAGCTCGACTTCTGTTGCTGCAAGCATTTTTCGGGAAATGAATGTGCCCCAAAACAGGAATTAGCTCCTGGCCGCTGGGAAAAGTTCAGGATTTCTTTCTGTCCCTGGGGCCACATAAATCGCACAGGTTTGACAAGTGACAAGGACCTACGCTACCACTGGGCTGCTTTCCAAAGGTGCAGTTTTGCAATTCTTGCTCAAACACGGCTATCAGTGAGGTCAAAGAGAATATTGCCTGATTAAAGGCTGATTAAACACCGAGGAGGGACTTCAGGTCCTCTGGCAGCTTCCAAGGAAAGCAAATATTTCAGTCGACTTGTCCATGCACCACGCTGAGGGACAGCAACCAGCTCCACCGTTACTTCGTGAAGGGAAACTTTGGTGGTGCAAGAACAAAAAGCAACAAACGCTTTTCAGGGGAAACCATCTGTTAAGACAATTTGGGAAGATGTGCACCCCCCTCTGCTGGGCTGCTTCTGCTGCGCAAAGGATTTCCCCAAAAGCAGAGGCGAGCCAAAGACCCCAGCAATGACCGTGAGCGTGGCGGCAGGGGCCTTGTCCCACCTTCGAGCCAGGCAAGGGCAGAGCATTTCTGTAACAGCTATGGAAGATCTCGGACTGCTGAGTATTAGTAGGACTCTCATATCGACAAGTTCGATAGGGTTATCCTGTACGACTGGAAAAAGTTTGAGAAGAGCGATGGAAATGACGAGAGATTTCCAAAATCAGATTTACGAGGAAAGCCTGGAAGTCATGGCTTGGCTTGCTACAGAAAACTGAGATAAAATATGGTAACAAACCCAAAAGGTTATTTTGCAGAAGATAACTCTCAATTGTTTTCCATGCTCACTAAGAATAAAACTAGAAGAAATCAGTTTAACTCCCAGCAAGAGGGATTTATGTTAGACACGCAGGAAAAAGCATAGTCAATGCAACGCAGCCGAAGCGCGACAGTAGACGGCGCAGAGCTTGCGGCATCGCCACCACTGGCACTGCTGAGGGTGATGCTCGGTCAGGGTGAGGAGATGGCATCAGCAGTCACTTGAGTAGGAGAAAAAAACCCCGTACCACATAAAAAACAGTGGCATGGTGTAGGGCAGGGCCGGCGGTGCCGGGAAGGCGGGATGCACGGACACACTGCCATGATTTGATATGAGCTTGGAAGGAGCCCGAGGGACGGCCGAGGATTTAAATCACCAAGGCGTGCGGAGCGCCCCGGGGGTTTTAAATGGCAGCGTTTGCCTCCGAAGACATGCAGAAGGCTCTGGGTGAGGTTACCGACCGCTGTGACGGGGGGGCTCCTGTCCCCAGACCACGCGAATGTCCACGTCTACGGGGCCAGCTGCCAGCGAACAGCGGCTCGACAGCAGGAGCGGGCAACAGCCTGAATCCAGCGTTTAGGTTTATACCAAAACCTACTGTCTCGTGTCTTGAGTATTTACGCTTCCCTCCCGTCTTTTTTCTGCGATACCGTATTTTAATCCAATTACCCTTGGGATGCCTTTTTTCCAAGCATCGCCTACCGAATCGTCCCAGCCGGGTCCCTAGGGGAGCAGGTCGGGAGCCCGGCGTTAGCTGAGAACGACGCGAAATCGCCCTGGTCGGCCTGCGTCTTCACGAGCTCCGAGTCATAGAAAAAAGCCCGGGCAACATATTGAGCTTTTTAATATCATTTCTTTTGCGCCGTAAAACGGTTATTGTTTATTTGAGTATACACGCGGCAGCTCTACTCACGCAGGTTTACTTTTAAAGGGCGCCCTGTCAGAGCGATTACCCTGAGCGGGCACGGAGGGCTTCGCGGCTCCGCTGTTTGCTCCTTCAGTGGGACACGGATCTTGCGTTTCAGTCCAGCTCCCTCCTACAGGACGTAACGGAGGAAATGCTTGTGAGACATATAGAGATCCCACAACGGCACGATCTGCTCTAAACACTTACGGCGCGTTTCAGAAAGCGTCTCTGTTAGTGGGAATAACGTTATTTTGTTGACGCGGGTAAGACACCGCGGTTGGCCGACAGATGTGCAGCTGCAGCGCGTTTCTGCTCCATAGATGTTATTATGCGCAAGGAAGTAAAACCAGATGATGAATCACAGCTGTCGTCGCTGAGGACGGAGATAATTGAGATCACATTTGGGGCTGGGGGCATCTGCAGAAAAGCTGGGAGACATAAGTGCACTGGCGTGCCCTCGGCTACTTCCCTGCGCTCGGCCCAGGGACGGCGGCAGCCGCCGGGCAGGACGCGGCTCTGCTAAAGCGCACCACCGGCCTCCCGGCTGGAAACACCGTTTCCCCGCAAGGCGGGAGGAATGACGATCGGCGTCCCGTGATCACGACTAGCGAGACAGCGCCTGTACGATCACATCGCACCGCTCCCGCTGGTATTTAGATTTGACGGCGCCGGTTTTCTACTGGCGTAAAATAGCATCACTTTGCTAATGCTCCTTTCAGAAAACGTTTGTGGGAATAACGTTATTTTGTTTATGTGGGTAAGACACCGCGGTTGTGCCAGTAACTACTTCTGAACACGCTTTGCAACTGCATAAACAAGCAGAGTGCCAGGATTGCCTCCCATTGCAGCCTTCGCGCAGCCAGCAGGTTTTGGCTGAAACTCTTTGAATGCCTGGAAAGCATCTTTCTGGAGAAGAAGCAAAAGATGTCTCTAAGCTGGGTTACTTTCCTCCAGCAGGATTAGATGCGAGAGAGGTATTTTTGGTATCTTTGGGCTCATAGAGGAGTCCCTGATAAAACTAGTTCCTTACCTGACTGTGACCAAGTATGGTCTCGATCCCTGGATTTTTGCCTATGAGTTTTGAGGAATGACCTCTAAGACTTCAGGCTGTATTTCTTTGACCCAGCAAATCAAGGCAGATGAGAAACGTGACACGCTTGATGCAGTCTTTGGAAAGGGGCTCATGATTCCAGTCATGTTGCACCGGGTTGTCTAAGATACATTCACGAGTACAAGTTTATGCTCCTAACAGATCGTCCCCCATCTTCGGTCACCCTTGGCCTGATCTCTTCTGTCTAGCGACCAACCTTGCTCATTGCCCCCCTACCTTAACTCTTCTACTGCTTCATCCTCTTTGCACAGTGGGTCAATTTTGGCACGTTCAGCTGTACGTTTCATACCTTGGTTGGGACTAACTTGGTTTCTCACAAGAATACCTACCCTGGATCTTCCCAGCCTCCACCCTTCTGCCCAGAACAAATCACAGCGTGTTGTGCCCGTAGCCCCCACGACCGCCCACAGCGGTCACTGCGAAGGAAACCCATGATGTTAGCCCAGGTCAACCCTTCCCTCCAGCAGAGTTTCCCGAGCTTTTAATTTTCAGATCTAATCGAAAGAATCCTTTGCTTTTTCCTCTTTTTCTGAAAACGATGAAGCGAGACGCAGAGACGTCAGCATCAGCCTGTGCTTTCATTTCCTCAGGCCCAGCCCTGCGGATGCCTTTTGCCGTTAGTCCGGACTCTGCACGCTCCTACAGCCTCCAGAGTCTGATCCTCACCTCCTGGGCACACACGCACCCTGCCAGCGCTTTCGGGGTCTAATCATACCCATGAGAGGTGTGTGTGTGGGGGGGAAACGGTTAAGGTCGAAGGCAGAGGCAGGAATTCAAGCCAATCTATTACATCCGAGTTTGCAAGTTTTAATTCCGAACGCAAGCCAGGATCCGTAGCTCCAGAAAAGGAACATGCCGCGGTAAGGTAATCCAATCTCCAGGCCAATTCTTTTCCCTAAGAGCGAGTTAAGAGCTCTGTGCCCTCGTAAAGCCGGCCCGACCCCTGTGCTGGACACCGAGCAGATCTCCAGCAGAGGATATTGCAAGCAGCAGCTCTGCTGCCCTGCAGGGTACCTGTGGCTCCTTCCCAACCCTTGTGCCAGACAGAGTGCCACCGAACCCATGATTATTACAAATTAACCATAAATTGGAGCCCAGACAGTTTCCTGCGCGTGGGGGTTGGAAAGGGACTATTAAGCACTTCAGGCAGACACGACGAATTGTCTCGTTTGGCACGAATCATTCGCCAGTCTCCATCATCTGCCCATAAACAGCACAAGGGTCTCAGCTTCTCCACACAAATAACCTCCTCCAAAATTATTCTTGCCGAGTCTGTGAGTGATGGGGTAATCCCGTTATGAGATTTTAATGCCAAATTACATATTCACACTGAAATGATACTCCTTAAACTACTTTGCAGATGAAGAGCATAATCACAGTTTTCCATTTCATATGCTCTTTTTTTCCTGTTAGTGCCTAATACCATTTACATAGACACGACTGTCAGTAATAGACAACGCTGTCAGTAATCCATGTATAATGCATAATACTTGGGCTTCTATAGTACCATGAACTTTCCTCAGATATACTGGATTACGTTTTGTTATCTATGCAGATATCAGCTGGGATGCCACTCACATGTTAAGAAATACAGAGGCAAACTGGTATTCACTAGTGACCCCTAATTGCCTAATTTTGGAAGGAGAGAGCACTCAAAAATACAATCTGAGGTCAAGTTTTGCAGTCAGTGCTCATCTCGAACACACTTTTTTCTGCAATTACAGCCCTGCTAGTCACGTATTTTAAGTGGAGCATGCAGAGCAGCCCTGACGTAAAGGCATATTTTTGAGTGTGTTTGTTTATTTTTATTAAGTGCATTTGTTTCATAAGTGTGTCTGTTTGTATTTCTTTTGGAAAAGCAAAAATCACTCTTCAATTTTCAGTCCTCCAGAGACATCCAGGAAATACAACGTATCACAGACAGAAACTTAAAACAATACTAATGAAAACTAGGATAGCTGTTCTTGGTTGAATGCTAGAAATAGTAAGGTGAAGTTGATAGGCCTGACTCACTCCGACTGTTGTGACACTAATGTGCCTTTGCATTAGCAGCTAATACATTTTTTCTTTAGTCATAGCATACTGTGCCCATTTAGCAAAGGAAGTTTTGATTTACAAATGATAGAAAACCACCAGAAGTCGGTTTGCTCTACAGATGGATGTAACTAATAATACACTCTACTAACAAACATGTTGGCAAGGGAGCCACTTTATTATCAGAACTGAAAATTACGATATTTAAAAAACACAATGGTTTAAATTTTTTCGTTTTGCATAGCACTTGGCATTACTTCTCCTCCTGAGCTACCTCCCTACAGAGGCCCTCAACAGACAAGCCAAAAACGGTCAGGAGGTGCTTACACAGCTTCTCCTTGTATAAAACGCTATATGGATTTCTCTGTAAGTGGCTTTATAAATAGCTTAAATGGCTAGTTTAAACCTATTTCTAAACAGCTTTAAATAGTACACTATGAATGGGCGTTTCTCAAATCCCTGGTTTTCGACATATTTTGCTGAGGAGCAGTACAAAGATCATGACATCTGTTTTCACAGTAGAATATGAATTGCTTAGCCAAATCTGAAAAGCTTTCAGATCTGTGAATGAAAGTACAGCTAGATAAATCTAAGGGAGCTTTGAAATGACAGGCGATAGATAGGCCATGACAAAGGGCTTCCTCTTCAGGGTTTTGGGGCCCAAACAGATGGAAAGGGGTGGAAATTCCTCCTAACGATTGCTTTGCAAATTTCTGTTTAGAGTGAGGCCAGCGGGGCTGCGGGCAACATGCACGTTTAATCAAAAGAAGCACAAGGCAAAACCAAACCTGACCTAAATATTTAGCTACCGAACCCTGACCTCTGCAATCACATAGGATGCACCAGGTTTATACCACCATCTCTGCACGAGCTCCTATAGGATTGCTCCCAGTTTCTGCTGAAGCAAGTTTTAGGGTTTCAAAGTAATTCTTTACTTCGCAAAGGTGTTGTGTGGGGGCTAAAGAAATAGTATTTTTCAAAGAGTCGAAGGACAAGAAGTTGCAAGTAGTGCTCGGATGGATCTGGCAATGCAACTGCAAGAGCTGCCCTCACCAAAGATGCTGCAACGCAGCGAATTAATGTTGCCCTGAAAGTGCTTGGCAGTGTCCCTGGCGTAGGTGACTCCTGGATCACGTATGGGATGCATGGCATGCCGCCGGCACTGGGGTTGGACTCACACCCTGGCAGGACTCACAGGGAGCCTTTCACTGCTGCAGGGTCCCAGGTTTACAAATGCACCCGGCAGCCTGGCACGTCCCAGCAGGTGACAATTTTGCTTGCCTGAATCTAGAGCACATTTGTCAAGAAAGCACATACGCGGCAGGCACAGGACATTGGGCCAACAGGCATTTCCAAACTTGCACGGAGAGAGAGCTTCTCTACACTAAAAACATGAATATTCCCTCCATTCTCCCCAAAATATGTGAGCAACAAAACATATGGTAAAACGCAGTACATGAATGACCGCAATGATGATGGCATGAACTAAAATAACGTGACATACAGGGGATGAGATTGAAAGTCATCTTCTTGCATCCCCACAACTGATATTTTTGCATTTGCATCTGGTGGAGGGCAAGAGATGGAACAACTGATTAAACTATCAGCAAAATGTGGATGAACTAGTTCAGTCTTTACTCTGAAAGCTCCTAATGGAGAGATCGAATTTGGAGAGTGAGAAACACCATGAGCAAAGCTATCATGGCAAATCCCCGAGGCTCCAGAAACGCCCCCAGGGCTTTGCAAATGTGAAGCGAGGCATTTCTGCTCCCCGACAGAGCTTGCTGCCCCGCGGATACGATAAACTCAGACAGGGCATGGAAAACAGAGCAGGCAGAAAGTAATAGTGAAGAGAGGTGTGGAAAAATTAACAGAGAGGAAGAGGAGGAGGTACTATCATTGGAAGAACTGGCTGCTAGGGAAAGTTTTGAAGAGGAGAGAAAGAGTTTAGTGGAGGAAGGCTAAGCCATGCTAAAATTTGTCTTGATGGGGAAATGTTACACAGCTTGCACATAACAGCTGCAATGAATTGCTCTACTCAAAACCATATTAATATGCTCAAACCTTCGTTTCCCTCCTCTCCCATTCCTGTGTCATAAGCCAGGCACACAAGAGACAATCCCAGGAAGTCCACGCGCTCTTCCTAATGGCCTGTCCATTCAGGTCTTTCGTGCAGATTTTGGGTATTTCCTCTCTTTAGTGGTTGAGGGTATAGATGGTGTTTTTGTAAAGACTCTGTAATGACCCTATAGCCGCGACTGCAGATGCAGAGCAGATTGTGTCATTATATACACTGTACTTTGAAATAACAGCTCACCCTCATACTCCTGCCAAACGCAGAGGGGACCACAAGGCTTTTAACGCACACAAAACCCACACATACGCGCTGCAAACATCACTGAGCCCTCTGAATCTAGGCAAGTCGTTGTATAGAGGGAATATGCACCCAAGCACTGACCCGGACACCAGCCACCCTTCCTGATCCCACAGCAGGGCCAGAGGACACACTCAAAGCTGTTAAGATGCCTCCTGAGAAAATGCAGAGCACATAACGGGGGCTGCCATTCATTAGAGCAAATGGGAATGCTAGCACTGCCGTACGCATTTCCCTCAAGCACACGTTTCTTCCACTTCGTTCTGCCAACAGCCGCAATCAGAGTTGAAGACGTTCAAAATTCAAACGAAGCAGTAACCGCATGGGCTTCGGCGAGCAGGAACAGTGACTTAAGCAAGTCTCTGACCGATGAGCGCGGGTGAGTTTGGCCTGCTCAACAGATGTTAGGGAACGACACACTTGGGTAAGTCATTCTGCATTAACTTCATTTGCTGTGACTTCAAGGCCAAAGCTATGTGACACAAACTGTTCACACGTGGGAGTAAGAACACCAACAAGTATTTACTTTGGATCTGAATTTCAATCCAGTCTCTTCTGAAACCCCGTTTAAATTGCATTAAATGTTACTGACAGCCCGCAGTTTGGAGCTCGTACCACCGTGCCCTTCAGCACCTGAGCGAAACTGCTCCGATTCCTCTGCACAAATTCCAGTCACTTCCCGTTAGCATAACATTGTGCTAACGATGAACGGGGGCTGCTGGCTCTGCAGCAGCTCCTGTTAGAAGTGAGGGCACCAGTGAACTTTTTATATAAGCCTGAGCGTGTGTCAGGAATGAGCAAATCCTATCAGCCGTGGGTTAGCGAGTGCTGCCATAGCTAGTACTCGTGGGGAGTCAGGCAAGCGGTTCTCCAGCTCCTAGGAATAAATGGCCGAATTGAGACTTAAACTTAGCAGCATACTTGGAAAATCCAGAGTGATCCTGGCTAGCTGTGCTCTCCGCACCAGCCCTGCATCCTGCTGCATCTTTCAAAATAGAGAGCCAGGACTGGCATTGGCTCATTGCATTAATGCAAATACACCCATTTATACCAATAGGATCTGATTACCCTAATACTGCAAGATATGTCCTCCTTAGAGAAACTGGCCAAATTGGACTCTACTCTTGATTTACCCACCATTTTATTTGTTTCATACTCAGGGTCCAAGCCTGGCAGCAATTAACCTCCAAATCTGTGGTGCAGAAAGTTTGAATAAATATCTATAGTAATGCTGTAGCTCTAAGGGGTTCCTTTGGGTCTTACACTGATACAATGTGGGGGACAACACAGTCATTGGTACTAGTAGCAGCAGTGCTGGCAGATGCTACAGTCCATTCCTGCAGGATTTAGGAAGCAGTTTCTATTTATCCCAGTAACTGTGAGTAGATCAGTTCACTTTCATGACTTCAGCTTCTCTGTCTGTAAAATGCAGACGACGATGATGCTTTCCTTAGTAAAGTTTACGATGCCTTGCGATGTGCTGTCATTGGAAATTGCAGCTTTCCCCTTAGTTTGAGAGCTGCAGGAATAGATTGTTTTACTTTGAGCCAGTGGAGAACGGTGGGCAGGGGCAGAAGCACGCTGGGGTCGCAACAGCAGAAATAACAACTGCCCTAAGGAGATGCTTTTTCTCTTTGCTCCTGCATTTTTCTTTCTATTTCACTAATCAATCATAAACGCCATTACATCAGCTCGACTTCTCCTGGCATAGGTACGCTGGTGTAACAACCAGTATGAAGAGCTGGCTGACTGAGGAGGGATTTGGGGGTTGTCTCCGAGCCCGGCTTTTCTTTCCCATCGTGTAAGCCTGCCTCTCGCCGACAGTGGATCCGGCAGCAGTGTGGAGCGTGCTCCTTCATTTCTCGGCAATGCATCTACCAGCTCTGTCCTGTCATGGCAATTAGTCATACCTTCTCGGTGCTTTATAATCCTCACGTATCGCATCTCGCCACGTCATTCCTATAGCGTCAGGAACAAAGCGTCACGAACATCATGAAAGAGCAGTGTCCGGAGGAAGCTGCTGGCAGTTTGGGAGGAATCACGAGAAACAGGTTATTTGCTCTAACACTAACCTACAGTCAAAATGTGGCGCGTGCTGCTGTGCTTTGCTACTGCAGGACTAAGCCTCTCGAGCCTTGGGCAGAGCCATCCCCTGCCTGCTCAGAGCTGGGCACAAGGTCTAACTTGTCAACAAGTAGAAAAATGGGAGAGAGGTTCTTGCACCTCATGTGAGTTGGAGAGAAAGCAGGGGCGTAAGCGCAAACACATTTCACACCAGAATATGCCCAGCTCTGCCCCACTGCGCAGACTCCATCTGCTTTGCCTAACACTGAACTCAGGGCAAGCAGAGCAAAAATCAAAGCTGACCTTCCCACGCAATACCTAGGAGTTGCCTTCTTCAAAGACTGCATTAATAGGTACACTTAGGGCTGTATGCTCCCCTTCTGGGTTTTATTTCCAGCACAGCTTAATTCTTCAATCCTTAACAAGATACTAAAAGTGACTTAGACTATTTAGTCTGTGTCTAGACTATACTTTAATGCCTACTCCTCTGACCACTGAAAGCAGGAAAATTGGCATCTAATAGCAGTGGGAATGTAGATTATGGTTCATCTCGGAGAGTTTAGCCCAGAAAACGACAAGAGCAATATTTATCACAAACCGCCAGGCACAGTAATGACAGACAGCTGTTGTGGTAATGAGAGACCAATCAATAATTCATTTGATATTCCTTGTGCAATTAATCATGATAAAGTAATGTGGCTTTAATGTGGCACTAATATGCATTTCCTGGGATCTCCAATGTAATTTCACAATTAATGTGCCATCATTTTAAATCACAGCTGCCCGTGCTCTGCAGACACACGGAAATCATCAGAGCCGCAACCCCCAACAGAGAGGGGATAATAGCTGGAAAGGTTTCAAAGGCTCAGGCTCCGCAAGGCTCATCTGCCCGCCTACCAGCATTTTGGTTTGTGGCCCACCCTCCCCCAGTTTACGGAGCACTATCACTGTATTCAAGGCAGAAGAATATGGCTTGGCTTGTACCCAAGGAAGTCCAATCACGTATTTGCTGATAATAACTATTTTTACATTAACCACAAGAAGGGTATGTGTTCAGGTTGTTTAAACAACTGTACTGAAATAAAAGAAGCAGTATCAGCTCTATGACAATACAGACAAAAAGTCCTGCAGCGCTCTCTGTGTTTGGAAGGGCTGAACCGGTCACACTGCAAGATTCAGATCCATCTCTTGTAGCGGTGGCCCACCTAGACAAGGCATTTTGGCACAGGGGTGCCTACATGGATCGTTACTAGGATGTTGCTAACAGGAGCACAGGACATTACAAACCCTGTAATGGAATAGGAACAAAATAAAAACAGAACAAAACAAAACTGAATCCCCAGTCGTGGCCCAAAACATGGGGCTCGATAAGAAAGCCCTGCGGCTTCCGTAGAGCCTCCAAGGAGTGTCCCCCAGCTAGCTCAGAGCTAGACTAAGAGTTTCCAAAATCCCTGGTAAAGGGCTGCAGAAAGGCAGCACGATGGCTGCTTCACCTTAAAGTAACGCAGGTCTGGCTGCCTCCTAGCCTCCCGCCCGCCCTTCAGAGCAGCCGGGAGAGGGGGGCAAGGTGGGAACTGTGATGCTGGCCAAGATTCCCCGCAGACTGGGCTTCACTTCAAGGCAAACCTTGCAACCTTCAGGGCTATTCACACCAGCAATCAACACAGCAGGGGACTGGCCTTCAAGATTTTAGATTATTCCTTCTTTATTTTTCCCTTTAAAAAGAAAACACTAGGCAACCTAACTTCAGCAGAAGGCACTTTGCCTCGGGCATCAATCTCATTAAGAATTTGTTCACACCTCTTTCTTATGCTTAGAGTCAAATGAGAGATTTGTTTGATTTAGCTGCTTTGTAAACAACTCGCAGAAACTTCTGCCATTCTCTCACCTCCCTTTCAAGGGCTGTCTTTTTGTCCTTGGACGCTCTAAATTATTAACATATTTTACAGTGTGCTCAAGATTAAAGAGATCTTTCCACTTTCATTCTCTCACCCCTTGGCTGAGCCAGTCGTGTTGTTTCTCACTGGATACCTTTGATCAACCTGCTTGCTGGATGTTAAACCACAGGACACCTCTAGTGAGAAAAGAAGCAGGAGGGAGCCGGCCCACAGTCTCTCGCCAGCAGGATTTTCTGCTGATCTAGGGCAGCACTTTGAAGTCCCCCAAGCTCAGGGCCAGACTCTGAGCAAGGTCACCCTTAACGTTAAGAAAAGCTTAATTATAAAAAGGAGCAGATAATTGCTAGAAACATCTCACAAACCTAAGTAGGCAGTGTAATACATATGGTTGCATGTACTCTACCAGTGGAAGTTGCTACCAGGGGTAACAGATCATTTATTGACTTTTGTGTCTTTAAGACTGGTCTTGCTATGAAAGGGGTCTTCTGCACTTCACTAACCCCTGCTAAACCGTTTTTTCAGCCTACCTTGAAAATGAAATGCCATTGTGATACAGTTGTACAGAGCGAGTAATGTCTTACTCTCCATGTAACCTTGCTGATCTTCAGAGGAATATTTAGGGAACATTACTCAGGCTATTAGCACAATGCAGCCCATAGAAAGCATGGCGGAGAGGAGACAAAGCACCTTCCGGATGAGTGCGTCTGCTTACATTGCAGATCTGCTCTGCAGACTGAAGACAGCGTACGGGCTCTGCAATACCTCTGCGCTTATTTTCAAATGAGTATTTGAAGCTGTGCAGCAATGCAACCACTCATATGCACTAATAAGACTAAGAGCGCATGTTTGCCACGTGCCAGCTATGCCCTCGCCAGTGTGGCTGCAGGGAGCCATGCATTTTCTTGCAGCAATTCCCCGCAGCACTCACTGTGCTCCCGTTCCTGCAGGCCCAGCGCTTTCCAAGGGGCTGCACCATGTATGCACGCAGTGCTTACATGGGATGGCAGCGTTCAGTGCATCCCTTCTGCCAGTGTTCCTCGAGCTGCTGACGCTAAAGACTGGGCGAGCAGAACGTGCAGCCCAACCCAAGAGGACGTGCACTGGCCCAACTCCTCTGGCACTGGCAGAGACGACATCTGAAAGACGCTCTTTTGAAGAGCCTTCCCACCGTGCTGCATTAAACGCCCTTTCACACAAGAGAATACATTGTCTACTGAAGAGCTGAGGGGCTTTAATAAACAGTTATAAGCAGGGCCATACCTTTGGGCAGCTGACGTCCAAGCGAGGCGTTTCCGCAAGCAGGCAGCCGGTGCCATCTAGAGGAGAAGAGGCTCCCGCAGCAGCACGCCAGGCCAGCTCCGCTCTGCTCCTGCCGTCTGGGGCACATCGGAAGTGACTTCAGGGAGATGGCTTACACTTGTGAAATCGCCACAAGCAAGCAGAAACAGGGCCAAGGAATATCTGCATTTGATTAGCTTTTCTACAGGTACTTGATAAAAAAAAAAAGAGTGAATCATGTTCTCCTTTAATGCACCCACTGTGTCAGGCACGGCACACTCTTACTTCGCATAGCAGACACACACGACCTGAGCTACGCTCTGCCTATAATACGTTCTAGGAAGCAAAGGTCACAGATAAGAGCCCATAAAGAGGTGTGAAATTTAAAGGACTGCAGTTCAGGGTCCCATTTACTCTGCATGCAGGGAAATCTGGAGCTGGATTTCCATTAGAAAAGGTATGAGGCATCTGTAGCAGGAGATCGTTTTCCACACATGTTCAATAGCATTAAAGTGATATCATCTGCATCCACAGACTGAAATATAAGCTATGATTTCCCTCAGTTACATAACCCTTGCATTCAAGACTGCGATCAGCTTCCAGAAAGACATCTGCAAGGATATGGCATGGTTACTAGCCTTCCCTTGGGACGTCTGCTTGGCAGAGCTCAGACCTACTCGCACCCATTGCGCGTTCTGTGCCTGCTCATTATGAAAAGCATTTTTGGACCATGAAAGTTTATTAATTTTTCCAGAGGTGAAGGTATAGGTCTGTGCATGATGCATCTTTGCCCCTTGTTTACCAAACTCCTAGTTACACTTTGCTCCAATTAAGCAAATCTCAGATTTCAACAGAGGTAAACATGTATGTATATGTAAAATACACAAGATTTAACAATTCCTCATGTTTTAGAAGGCTAATGTGAGGAATTTCTTAGAAAACTGAGTTCATTGATAAGTTCCAAAGTTTCTTTGCTTTAGAAATAGTATAGTTTTTTCAGAGGATGACTGGACCGGCTATGAACATTTCAGCACATCACAGAAACAAATCTTGTTCCAAAGAACTTACTACCCTCGTAGGTAGGACAGGTCAATGAGAAGAAAGTCTCAGAAAGGTGAAATGACTTGTCCATGGCCACGTCATAGCAGCATAGCTGTGGACAGGAGACAGATGATCCACCCTCCAAGTTTCGTGCTCTTTTCTTAGGCTCTTGCAAGCACTGTAATACAGACATGCCTCACAGTCTTCAGTGTTTTCATTCTTTCAGGACCATCTTGAGGAGAAGATCACTCCTACAAGTGGGAAGCTGAGCCAGAGAGAGGCTTGTGACTCATAAAATCATAAGATACCTGCTGTTGCGAAGCAATTTCATGTGGGTTTCCCACGACCCAAGCTAGCACTCCATCAGGTAGAATATCCTGCCAGGCCACACATAAAGCACACCGTGGAGTAGGCTAGCTTCATAACAGCTACTCTGTTTGCCTACTATGTCAGCTAGAGTACCGGTTTCAGAGGTCTGACATCCGTACCTTTTTTCATCTCTAAATATTCAGATAATAAATATTCTTAAAGTTTAATCAAACAACGGACATTTCTAACAGATTCCTACATCAAAGTACTTGCCTCTTTCACTGTTATGCTTCAGTTTTACATGTTTTTTTCCCTAGGACACAGTGTGCAAGTATTAAAATACACTTACATCTCTCATTAGGCAGTGTGCCAATGAGTTAAAAAGGCAGTGACTTGAAGACTGTAAGAACATATTTCTTTTGTAATCTCAAAGACCTTCTGTGAATGTGATTCTGCAGTCTTTATGACTGCACGCCTCTTGTTTAGTTAATGAGATTGTCTGGCTAGCTCTTGAAACCGAGTCTGGATCCAAGCCCTATGAATCTTTATTGTCCTGTCTACCTAGGTGTCATTTGCCCTTTTTATATGTCTCAACACAACTGGGTGAATTACTTCGTGATGGCTACAATGCGTAAGCCGGGAAGAGTTAAGAGACATGTACAGTTCTTTTAGGAGAAATTCCACATCCACACATTCCATACACAACAATGCAAGTAAAGACTGTCTCATTGCCCAGAAGAACACAGGATTCGATTCAAGCTTGGAGAGAAAAGTTAGCATTGTTGGATTTAGATTCTAAGCACAACCATAGTCTGATACAAGCAATAGCATCTTCTCACTCAATAGATCTTTTCTCCTGTGCAGTCAAAGCTAGATGCTTCTTCATAGTTGTTACTATATCTTGTCATTGCTCTAGGCCCTGTAGATGTTAGAATACCTAAAATAGCAAGCTATTTAGGTAATAAGATCCAAACAATTTCACAGCAACAAACCACCAAGGGCAACAGGGAGGCACAAATACTGGTAAAAAGCCATGCTTGCACAGGCAAAACAGATTCCTGTTCCATTCCTACTCACCCTCTAACTGAAGCCAATAGCACCACGCCAAAAAGACCAAGTCACAACTGAAGATTTGCCTGACAAGAACAGTATAAAAGTTCTTAGATGGTTTAAAAAATAATACAGTACTTGCTTATCTATATATACAATTTCTCTGATTTAATCCTCTAATCTTTTGTTAGACAGAGTGTTAGTCCAAGCTACTAGATTGTCGACTTCCTTCTCCCATAGCTCTTCTCGGTTGTCATGTCCGTCTTCATCCACTCTTTGCCTTTCTGATGGGAGGTCAGGCACATCTGTGGTTTGAAACACAACAAAAGATTAAAAATGACTGAAGAAAACTCCGGACAGCAGGCTGAGTAGAAAAGAGGCTTCTAAAATAGGCCAAATCATATTCAGCACTTCAAATGCAGTTCTGAATTTGTCGTAATACGCGGAACTGTATCTGCTGCGAACGCACGTGGAACATGGGGATTGACGTGCACTATAAATAGCAAGTATTGGTATGACAAGCTGCAGAATAATGTAATAAACTATATTTCTAATCTGCCGTGGACAGTTTTGCCTGAAATCTGGCCACTAATCCATTGAAACTAGAACTACACATATTCTTCCAAACTATTCTGGACAACTGCTTTTTAATCTGTCAAATAAAGTTTCTTTCTGTCTCAGAGCCTGAATATCACAATGTTCTGTTCTGAATGAGTGAAATATCCCTGCTATCACTCCCATCATTATCAATATTAATGATTCTGTCAGCAGAACTCCCATTTGCTCTTTTAGAGCTCTAGGACTCTGCTGTGTTAACAGTATCATTATTTGCTTTTGTCAGTTAAGTAAGCCCATATGCCCCTAAGACAAACAAGGAACAGATTTATTGAGAAATATGGTGCTATTTTAAAACATTTTTTTCTGACTAATTTGCAGCCAGTTAGTGATGTCATCTACTTTGAATGCTAGAAAATCACAATGCTCCAAACCACTAAACTCTTGCTTTGTATGCTGTTCTTAAGAAAGAAGCAGCAGTTTAGGAAACTTGTATTTTTCACATGCAAAACATACAGCTAAACTCTTTCAAGTTGTGCAACAACCGTGAATACTCTTACAAAGTATCTGTAAGACATTTGGCTTCTAAGGTACTGACAAAAACGTCTGTTTCAAAGTGTCACCTCTTTTCTTTCCAAGCACAGGCTTGCTAAGGAAAACACTTAGGCTTATAAGGAAAATGCAACTATAAAACAGTGTAACCAAACTACAGAGTTCACTGCCCAGTCATGTGTTCCCAATAAACAGCTTCCCCTGTCTGTTGTGCAGACAACTGTAAGTCCTGCCCCTTCTGTTACAGAGTATGAAAGGTTCGAGCTGCAGTGATTTGCTGTGCGGGATTTTGCAAAAGTCTTCTTTCAGTCTCTTCAGTCAAAAACTTGACATTTCAGGAGACCTTCACACAACAACTGGCTGCAGTTCCCTGAAGCTAACCCAGGGAACTGGGTGGAGTCAGCAGCTCTGTCACGGCTACTTAAGCCCTCAAATTACAGCAGCAGATATATCCCAGCTCTGCTCCGGGATGTCAGGAGGACAGCTAGGATAGGGCTCTTTCGCTCAGCATCATAGACATCCCATGCGCCTATCACCTGTTTGGCCTGGGCAAAAAGGGAAGATTTTCCTGTTACTGTGTACAGGCTCAGTGACAAGAAAAGCTCATGGTTAGAAAAGCTGGTCCTACTAGTCTACTTTTTAAAAGCGTATTTAGACATTCAGTCATTTGAAACAAACAAATCTAATGTAGTATTATTCCAGCCTCTGATGATCTGGTATTATATCAATTTCAGGAGGTGTTAGTTTGGAAAAAATATTGGGTCAAGGTGAAACGTATCAGCAACACTACGAAGATTCCTTGTCTGCAAAACACGATAAACGTTGGAGAGCCATTAACAGTGCTCCCCTGAAGTAATGAATGTTTAAAATCAATATGTAACAGCTGTATTTCAACAATACCTCTCTATATACCAACTTTACATCTGTTCTTTCTTCTTTTGGGGAAAAAAAAAATCTTTAAAAACAAAACCTTATGACAATAAAAGTGTATAACCCACCTCCTGACTTGAGATATTCAGAACACAATTCTTTCATTTATATCACCTTTTCTTTGGTGAACCTTCTACATCTTTGAGTGGAGGTGATCCTGATTTTCTTCAGTTCGTAGAGAAAAATCAAACCTACAAACCCTAGCCAAAATATGATCCACTGCAAGGTTTAGAGCAAGCTCCTAGTCAATTCTCATTGAGGATAAGTTCATATATTGTTAACATTTACACTTCTGAATGGATGATGTTGAAAAAATAATCTGTGACCTTTATTAATATGCTGGTGATCTGGATGTGTATTTACAGTGACACTGATTTTCTTCCATAAAGTCTGGTTCTGCCTACCATTTCCAACAAAATTTTTTCCCTACGTGGAATCACAGTTAAATCCACAAATGACACGATTACAACACCTGATTCAAGACTCACGATAGCATTAAACTACAATGAAGTTGTGCCAGATTTACACTGGCAGAAGAAAGAGGGGAAAACCACATCATATATGTTCACAGGAAGGACTAATGTATGTGATACTAACTCTTTACCTGGAGACTGCCAAAATTGGTAGTTTTCAATTTTACTCATCTCAGATAGTTCTCCAGCTGTCTGTTTCCTTTGTTTTCTGATGAGCTGAGAGATGATAGCAGTGCATCTGTAAGCAAAAACGTAACCTGATGGATAAAATCAATGTAGTACACGCTTGCTTAAGACAATTTTATATAAAAGGCAAAATGACTACTGCAGCTGTGGTTCACTTCAAACAAGCATTTATAAAAAGCATAAAGAAGCAGAGGTGAGTAGGAGTTTTCTGAAGGAACGTGTCGGACTTTTGATTTGGCTCGTGAACCAAACTTGAGGGGGACACACACACATCTGTTTTGACAAGGCACTAATCACACAAATAACTGTACAAGTGCTATTAAGGCATGCTGAAGTTAATGTCGGAGTTAATTGCCGAGCGGTCAATTTTGAAGAGAATTATTTGGTAAGAGCTTTGCTGGCTCTTTACCAGACTGCTGAACACCTCTCAGGACTGAGCCTCACAAGTGTGTGAGATGAACTGAAACAACTTACATTTTCCAAAAGAAGAGAAAAATAAAAGGTAACCAAGAGAAAAAACACAGAAAAATGAACTATGCTGCTGGTATCCTAACACATCAGAAATACGAGGCGATACTAGTAACATATACACACACAACTTTGTTTCTATCATATGATATAGTTCTTAGGCTTGCTCCATCCCTTTCAGTTTTAGCAAATAAAACAATCTTGTCTTCCATTTTTAATTTCTTAAACAAAGAGTGCAAGTCTGAAAAGGAGTCCCTGTACTAGGGATGAAACAGTACAAAACAGAGACTAAATACAATTCTGAAAAATAGCTTTTGTCCTCCCTTTTCACTCCCCTTCAGTGAATTGCTATTATTCAGTTTGGCTTCTTGTCACTTCTTTGCTGTAGTGTCAAAATATAGCTGGGATCGGGAGATAAAACCGCTGAAGTAAAAGAATTCAGAGAATAACACCCTTTAAAATACAGGCCAACCCAATAGCTTTTCTAATATCTGTCACTCTGCCTTGGCTTTTAGAGGATATTTTTTATGTTCACATATTCTGGAACATGTGTGAATTATCTGTAGTGGGGGAAAATGGTTCCTAAATATACTGCTGTTAATCAGATGTTTAATTTATCTCTAATGAAACAAAAACAAATAGTCATCAGAACAAAGCATCTGCTCATTGCATTCTCTTTCCAGCCACAAGATGGCATACTAGCTTTTAGCATGCAGTAAAATATCAGGATTTCTGTTGTTAAGTGGCTTAGCAAAATACCTATGCAAATTCTAACTGTATATTCTTTACCATCTTATCCTAGCAGCACTAATTTCTAGAGAGCACAAGGCAGTCAGTTCATATGCTGAGAATGCCTGGCATATCAGACAGGGAAAACGAAAAAGATCTAAAAGATCCAAGCGCATTCCTACCATGCACATTTTTGTTATGGGGATTTCATAGGTATTCATGAATAACCATGAGAGCTCCCGGGAAGAAGCAGACCTGCAGGAGACTGCTCGGCTGGGAGCTGGAAACTCGTGCTTCTGTTTCTTTCTTAGTCACCAGAATGCCCACATCGTGGTGGTAAGTATAGCTGCTGCAAAAGTATTTCAGTCAGCTGTAAACCAGCTTGTAGCACTGCCTGCAGAATGGCATGCCTGGCCACCTGAATACTCACCTAGCTTCTCAGATGGGTTTTACAACCTATGCTGAACCTCAGGTTATGACAGCCGCACTCCTGGGAGGTCTCCCACCTCTACCTTAGGCTAAAGCTGGCACAAACCGCAGCGACCGCAAGAGAGGCATGCCCATTGCCAATTCCTCTCCACTCCCCTTTGCTTGTTCAGAAAGCTCTCTGAAAATGCGTTTGTGGTTTTATTCTTTTTTTCCCTCCACAACGAATACACTTCTGTCTCTCACCATCTGAAAACAAACCCAGAGTCTCTACTGTGACTGCTGAAGGGCTGCTTCAAGATCCGCACTGCTTCTCGCCCTATGATTCTTAAAGTGCATTAAATTATAGTCACATTCTTATACGTTGCGTCTTCACATTTCCTTGCGTTTCACCATTATTTCTGTTCCAATACCCAGTCCTTCCTAAGGATGATGTGAAACAAACTGCTCGTTATGCCAAGACAAATCACTAGCCCCTGAAGGCTTACACTGACTTACTGAAGCAGAAATTGACTCAGTGCCACTGTAATTAGCCAACATGTAAAAACACAACAGGGGCAAACTGCTCCCGGTAATGGTAACAACATATTATACAAAAACAAGCTATATTTCAAATCTCTTTTCTAGAAGTAACTGAATTTAGAGATTCCATTTCATGAAGCAAATAAAAGTCCTAACATTTGCCTTTCTCTATAACTGAAATTAAGATTTCCTCTGCTGCACTTATGTCAGCAAATTTTTGGCCTCTTTCCTCTCTAATCCCATGCCAGGAGCTAAGAACAGACTGCAAGCTTTAAAAACAAGCATGTTTTGTGAGCTGTTTGCAATTGAAGAAAAAAAAAATGCAAAATGAGAGGCAACCCTGCGTTTGAACCTGCAGCTGAACGTTTGGAGCTGTCTTTGATCAATCAAACCCAGCAGTTTAAAGGCTAGAAGCAAGCTGTTAAAAGCATATTATCTGCTGCCACTAGGTGGCACCGAGAAGGGCCCAAAGCACATCATGAGGGGTCTTGCTCCCCACCAAAATCAGAAAGTTCACCTTCGCAATTTCCTCTCCAGTCCTTTTGAATATGAAAAATTTGCTACAGTTGGAGATGAAGACACCATCCTGAAACAACTCCAGGTTGCCTCAGCTGCACGCACAAAAAGGGACATTCAAAGTATTTTCGGTGTTCTTGTAGGATGCTGTGCCGCTACATAATGAAACAATTATCAAATATATACAACAAAGGAGTTCTGTTAAGGGAAATAAAACAAGGAAGTCGTGTCAAAGGATAATTAACCCTATATTCCAGAGGCTTCTTGTGAAAGAAAAATTCCTCCTAATTTGAATTCAGGACTTGCTGTCCTTCAGATTCAATGAAGCGGTCCTTTTCTTTCTAATTGATGCTGAAGACAAATGGGATTCAAAGTGAAAAGGCATTTTTTTGATCTGTTATAGAGAGTTACCACAAAGGAAAAAAAATGTAAGAAAACTCCAGCTACCTATGAGATATGAGGCAGCCACCTGGCTTTGCCAGTTCCCTACTTTTCTTCCACAAACTAAGCCACAGAAAAACTCAAGAATAATATTTTAAGAACCTGGACCGCATCTTCCGTTAACCTGAAGTGTCAGCAGCTTCAATGATTTTATCCAGTTACACCAAGGAAGAATTTGTCCCAGCAAATCTGAGCAGTATTTGGCAGGGAGAGTCTCCTTTCTGAGGAGCGCTCTAGTAAAGCTACTGGTTTCGATAGGTATCCTTCTGGTTACAGCGTGTCCTTCCCTCCCAGCCTGCCGCAGAGCGGGCACACTCACAAGGGAACATCTGGCTTAAGGGATGAAATTTAAGATCAGATGAGAACTGTTCTAACTTAAGAATATACAGGGACAAACACCCAGAATCTGAAAATATCAAGACACCCATATATTACCACTGCATTTATAGAGACCCCCCATGTGTACATGTGCAGCAATTTAAACTTACGTATCCTTATCCCAGTCTTCTGTTCCTTTCACGTTTTTTGCCTTCCAGCCACAGTAGTTCCCTGTGAATTCTGGATCTTCAAAAACTAAAGTGGCATAATTACAGAAAACTACATTTACACAGAATTGCACACTAACCACTAAATTATTCAAAACTATCGCACACCTAAGTCCTGCTGATATCTGCACTGCTTATAATAAAATCCTCTTTTCATTGTGTTTTGTTATAAATATTTTACTGCATTATAAGTCACTATGAATTTTGCTATGAAGTTCAGTGAGGCTGGTTAAGGACCTAACCAACTCACAGCTGAGTATCGTTATTAAGTACAGACTCCATGCTGCACCTCTGATCTCACTTCCATGGGTGGCAAATTCAAAGGAACTCCATAAAAATCACCCTGGCAGGTTCCAGCATAGTTGAAAACTGAATTTGCCTGCTTATACTTAAGGGGGAGGCCACACTGCACACATGCAATTGAAGCACAGTCCGTCTCCTCTGTCTGTGAATGGATTATTTGGGCTGCCAAAAAAATATTCCACAGGCACCGAGACACCTGTGCTGGCTCTGTGCAGGCCAGAACAGTCAGTGCTCCTTAGCTCAGGCACTGCATCACGCAAAAGCAGCTCTGAAACCACCAGAGGACGAGAGGAAGGGCAGCTGCTGTTGTACAAAACGATGCTCTGCAGGATCTGTGCTTCTAAGAGAACTCAGGCTGCCTCCAGAGGCTCTCACATGAACAGACCTAGGAAAGGAAAGGGATGAATGACCTGCTCCCTTTGGTCTCTGTAAATCCACTTGGATACGCTGCCTCTGAACCCCAGCTAGTTCTGTCGCTAAGTTCTCCTGCAACCAAATGCACTGGGGACTGCAGCACTGGGGCTCCTGAGGCAGCTTCATTAGGAGCTACCTGGAACTAGCAGCTACTTATGTTTTTTTCCTTTACTTGCGTTGCTTTGGCTTCCTCAGCCTTCCTCACCTCCAGTCTCCTGAATAACAGAGAACTGGTTAGATTTATCTTTTTCACAGTGCACTCTAGAGCAGCCATTGAGTTGCACAGCAGGAAGAAAACAGAAAAAGTGCATTGCCTGCATACATGTATTGCATTGTTTTGCATACAGTATAACAAATAATAATATAGCGCTCATGCTGCAAACCCAGATTAACAATGAGCCCATATGAACCCTAGTAAAACATTATTATCCAGTTTGGTTAGTAATTTAGGTAGAGCCACATCCAGCAAGAGAACGTTGCCTTCTTACCAGATCTTCTCAAAGACCACAGCTGACATACATACTTCCCTTATCACCACAGGAGGTTTTAATATGTGTAATTAATGCCTCCTCAACATCGTGCTGTCCAACTCAAACTCAAATTTCCACCACCTTCCCCAGCCAAAAAGGACAATCCCTAACTGGAAGGCCTCTGAGGCAAGAGTCATCCCTTTGCCCTGAGTTTGTACAATGCCAGCACATGACCAGACACCAAGTCATATAGTACAGGCCCGATCTCCAGTAGGTGTAAACTTCTATGGCTGTCCTGACATATATGAGTTCACATCAACACACAATCTGACTGCAAATTCTGGACACCTGACGTCTGAGGCTTGCAAAAACAGCCTGAATGCAGTCAGAATTGCTACACTAGCATAAATCTGGCACGAGGACAGCATCAAGTCCATTATGTTCAATTTTGCTAAACCAGGCATATCATCTTACGTGAGTCTTTAAAATGGTCTGTTGCTTTTGATGTAGCTATTCTAGACCACGTCCTGTGGTAATCTTCAAACGAAATTCTCCTAATCCTTCTGAAAACATAAATACAGAACAAGGGAGGAGTTTCTGGCAATTACAGAATTTGTTAGTTAACACAGACATTCACGTATAACTTTCACAAAAGAACAGAATGAATTAAGTGGATTTAAAACTCTTACAGTATTAATGGCTGAGAAGTGACAGAACAAAATAGGTGCACAAAGCTCCAACAAACCCATGAGGAATGCCTTCCACAAGAAATTGCTGTGTCTGCTTGTTACCACTGTCAGAAGCAAACACAAAGATTAATTTAATATTCTGTCCCTCCCTTCCCTTCTACTCCAAGGAAAATAAAATATTGTTTAAAATTGATTTGAAAGCAAATCTCATTAAGGGAAGAAACGTCTTCTTCCACTGGGAAGAGTTTTGTAAAATCCACTTGCTGTTTTTACATGAGTTTTCCGTCTTAGTTTCAAAATTACGACACAAATATTCAAAATAAATGAAGCAAAGTGGCTGCTTAAGTATGATTCCTTTACAGTTCATCACATTGCTGCCTGGGCTATCCACACAGCAGGCCTGGTTCCACCTCAGTTACACTCTATACCTATTTTATCTTTTGCTAAACCATGTCAGAGAGAGAAACCGCAACCTAAGTAAGGTAAGGCAATCTTCAGTTTCATGAGAGCTTGAAAGTCCAAGTCGGTGTTGCCCTGAGCCCACCCTCTCCTGCGCTTTTGTCTACACATTCCTATCCCTCCCCAGGGTTCACCTGATCCTGCTGTGAACTGAGAGGGAAGTCATCAGAAAACTAAGAAAAAGTATCACTTTCTCCCAGTTTGGCTTCCTGAACTAGGACACTGCAGGGTCAGGCAGGCACCAGTATTGGAGCTAGGGAGGGGGCAGGACCACAGACATTTTAGAGAGGTTTAAGCTTATCCCACGGAACTTCATTCCTTAATCAGAGAGCCTCCAGGTCCCTGAAAAGCTGAGCTGATCTAACAGCTTCCAGCTTTAGTCTCTTCCATTCCCAGGTGCCAGCTGCACACCCCATTCCCCTCCAGGCCAGAGGGGCATCCACAGGATCCTGCTATCAGCTGATTCAGTCCACAGGCAAAGCAGAGGATGAGCCACCCTTCCCCTGGGTGAGGGCTCAGCCAGGGCAGCGGGTGGAACTGGCTCATGGGAGGATGTGACTTGCCAAAGAGCTAGCACAGGTACAAAGCAGGACTGCCTATCTGGGAGCGGGAAGGGAAGCTAGCCCTACCCTTTTTGACAGACGTCGCATGGGTTCATCTCCTGGAATAACCTGCTGAAAAACAAGTCCCAAACCCTCCCTGCCCAGACCCCAGCCCCTGTGCGCTTTGTCATAATTTTACCGTTGACTTCAGGAGATCAGATTTTTTATTAAATGCGCGTGTACCCTAGAGTATGGCAAGGAAGAACTTCCTAAGGCTCAATCATCCCAGAACCAATGTGCCTACAAAAGCACAGGAAATACCTTTTCTCCTACCTCAATGGGTCTGGTTGAAGACTGTGGCCCCATCGCCATACAACTGATAGCTGCCAAGGGCACTGAAAGCCAGCACTGACCACTTTATTAAATCCCATCTTGCAACACTTCTTTTTAACAACTTAGAACACTGAAGATTTCTTTAGCAGGATCTTTTTATGGGCAGGAGGAAAATTAAAAATTGCGTCCCCTTTACTGGCCTCTGCCAAAAACCTGGCAAACTTGCACAAGACTCTTGTCTACTCCTTGCAGCTCGCCAGCACTGTCTGACTTGGCGTCCTCCTAAAGCTCTGCATTATCTCATTCCTATTACTCCTGCTTCTATAAAAATAATTGATTGGGGGGGGGGATTAAATTGTATACAAAAACATATCAGGCCAATGTAATTTTATACATAACAAAACAAGGAGATTGAATCACTGTCTGAATTATGAAATCCCCTGTGATTCCTCTACTGTCTATTATCTTCCAGGAAGTAACGATGAAAGTGAGAGGAAGACACCAGTTATGAAAAAACATGGGCTCTTGAGCTCAGTGATGAACATTATTTTTGTCTCTTTGATATCCTTCCAACCTCCCTTGCCATTGTAGTCCTGTAAAATGTCAAAAGCTGCTTGCTAGAGGCCTTTTGCTTTTAGCAATATTTAAAGCTGTGTCCATAAAAGGAAACAATTCCATTATGGATCTTGATTCCCTTCCATTCCACACTTAAAACTTTGTGATGAAATCAGTGGAAGTTGTATGTGAGAATGAAAGGCAAGACTAGAGCAGTAATACTTTGAGGAAAAACAGAGGCTATTTGTTTGTGATTTTTAATCACTGATTCTGTACCTACTGACATTCAGGGAAAAAAAAAAAATCTACAATGAAATCTTGTTTCCACAAAAGTGAATCAGAATTTAACTTCAACAGGGCCAAGATTTTATCCTTATTGCCTCGGGCACATCCCCATTACTAGGGTCTGGAAACAGAATGAGTTCAGAATCCATTGCACTACTATTACAGGGGCTGAGAACTTCTTGTCCTTAGGAAAACTGTCAGCAGGCCAAGTACTGCCAAATTCTGGAGGGAGGCAAAAGCAACTGAACTGAGAAAAAGAATCTGGCTCCGTTTGTTAGTCTGAAAGTTAGCTTCAGAAATATTTCAACAGTGATGCCACGTACAAACCTAGAAGCACAAAAAGAAATATATCATAAAAATGACCTAGTATTTTTTAGAGTAAATTCACTGGTTTCCCTATGCTATTTAATAATACAATAAATGATCTTAAAATATGTATTGCCTGAAATAAATGTCATTGATTAGGTCAAATAAAAATATCCTTTGGCCCAGCAATGAAAAATTTCCTGGCTATGCTCCTATAGGCAAAGAACTTGCTTCATTTAGGAACAAGAGCTACTGGCAGTAGCTGGGAAGGAAACTGCTTGCCAAATGTCTCCGTAGGAAAGTAAATAATGGAGAATATTCACTAATAGGAGAAAGAAAATATTTGTTCTCTTTAGGATACAGACCCAAAACATCCTGGACTTATGCTGCTTTTTCTGAAATAGTGGCAGTGACATCAGCATGTTCATTGTAATTTGTTACCTGGCAGAGCCCAGAGAAGATCCTTCAGCTCGCTGGTAAAACGTCAGAGGAGAAACACAATCTTTCTCAATATGAGAAAGTTCTGCAAAGAAAAACAGGGACTTTAAGAAAATTAGTCTTCTTGATCCTACATGGTGTAAACGGATTCAGTTCAGTGGAAGCTGTGCTGATTCTGTAACAAAGTAACTGACCCGCTTTCCCTATCTGTAATAGTCACGTAGGTAAGAATTGGCTATATAGGCATTTGAAGAGCAATATTGGGTTTGATTCTCCTTTGCATTCCATGCGTCTCACCCCATCAGTATGTTAAAAGAATATGAGAAATGAAGGAACATGGAGAGGCTGCTGGCCCACGAGGTAATTCTGATGGCTTTCTGAAAGCAGAGCTTTCCTGCTTTGAGGCTAACAGGAACTTCTCCATTATCACCAGGCTCCAGATGCTTTGTGCCACTGGAATGGGCTAAAGCATCTGATTTATTAGGTAGAAGAAATAAGCACAGAATCCATACCTGCATGCCCTCTTCTCCCTGCTGGCACTTACTAAGCAAAGTGAAAGAAGTCTGCCACAAGTTTTACACTAAATCCATTTTGCCAACTGAACACTGCAAAATAGAATCACGGAGCTCATTCAGCCCACGCTGCAAGGATAACACAAGCATCCTTTAAAAACTCTGGAGGAGAGCTTGCCCCACCGTGCTGAGAAACAGCATGCCACTGCCAGGAATCACTAAGGAACAGCACTCCTGGCTAAAGGACTTGTTTAAGGGCCAGCCCAGAAGGAATGGTAGAAATGGACTTCTCTGGAGGTGGAGGACTTTTGGGGACTTTCCTCCAGTAGAGAAGGTTTTTTCCTCAATTCCACAAATAGCTGACCAGAGGAGGAGGAAGAGGCTTGAAGGGGGATTTCTGGTTTGCTTTCATTAGATGACTTGAACGGACAGAGCTTTGTTTTCTGTTTGTTTCCTTGAAACAAAGCCAGTATTTGTTGAGTGGCTGTGCTATGCTTAGACTGGAGGGTAGAGAAACCAGCTGGTGTGTCAGAGAGAAAATATCAGCACTTCCCAGCTTCCTGTTTTATCTCAACTGCATTTGTCAGAACACATGAATTTCACTGGATCTCATTCACCACTACCTCATTTGTAAGATCAGTTACCTGAATTCAAGCAGCATAGCTGCTTTCAAAACTCTGCTTTATGTTCGTTTAAACTAAATCATCACTCAAACGTACTGCTTTAAGAGATTTTAGAACTGTTTAAAGAGTTAAAAATTCTTAATGCTTATTTATGAATAATAAGAAAAAAAGAGATAGTGTTACCTTCTGGATGCAGGCTATTTCTAACACACTGCATAACCATTTGCCTATACAGAGGCATATTGTTTTTCAGCATTTCTGCTGCTTCTACGTTCACTGCATTTTCTGTTACTGGATTTGAAAGCATCACCTAAAGACACATGCACACACATAAGTCTCTAAAATATAAGATATCAAAACCCTGTTTGCATACTTAATTGGTAAAATCACATAACCCTACTGTGTTAAGCTGGTTGCTTTGTGCCTGAAAGAATCATAGTAGCCTTTTACTTTTGACATCAAAAAAAATTATTTCAGTTTTCTCTTCGTTTTTAATATTACTCCCAGCAGGCAGCCATAAACGATACATGACTTTGCCATTTGTTTTACTCATAATCAATATAAAGCTGTCTGGAAAAGCCAAGCATACACCTGGGGAAAATTTTCAGTTATAAGAGGAGAGTGTAGCATCATTTAAGGTGATGTAAGTGAGGCTAGAAATGAGGACGTAAAGGGCAGAGATTGCTCCGCAAAAAAAAGCTGCATTCAGCTGCAAAAAAACACCACCAACAAACCAGAAGGGGTAGTAAATTTGAAACATAGTGGCCCAGATGTTAAAATGAAACTAGATGCTTTGAATTACCCCTGATCTTAAGACTCATCCCAACGCTCTTGATCAAGATTGACAATGTGTAGCTCAGAAATATAAAAGTAAAGTACCAGCATCTTAAAAACATTTTTCTGAAGTGTGGAGAACTGAAGTGTGGGTACACACCTCTTGAGCAGTAACTTACACAAGATAAAAGAGCATAAATCCTAAAGATCAAAGGAACTAGCTAGCCTGGTCTATCAAAAAAATTAGCATTAGTAACAACTCCAATAACTGTCATTCATTTCATCATCCGCCTTCATAAGAGTTAAGGTGCTTCCCAGTGACCTACTGATGAACAAATGCAGAAGTGAAACAAAATGATTCCTGTCTGCGAAGAAGCGTGGCCCACAAATCGTGTTTGCCCAAGCTCTGGACTCAGCCGGGAGTTTGTATTTTAGAATTCACAACCACCTACATAAAGCATATTTTACATTTCTTCTCTATTAAAAAGTATTAAAGGGGTATCTTTTTCCTTACCTGAATAGCAAGTAAAATGTTACTTATGGTTAACTTTTCTTTCCACTCCTCAGGGTTGTCAAGGAAGTCTATACATGGCCTCCCAGAGTACTGATCCACTGCAGGAAGGGAAAACATTCAGATGTCGTGTAACTTTAAGATGTAGCAAGCCTTGTTGCTAAGTGCTAAAGGAACTAGATATCACCGTTTGCCCTGTGTACCTTAAACTTTTATACGGCTCAAAACCCATCTACAGACTTCCTGTCTATAGAACCATTTACATGGTTACAATCCTGATTTTCCCATATATGTTGAGCAACAGCTCAACAACTCCAATCAGGCTGCTCTATTTCAGCCCTGTAAATTTTAATGGCAGCTGCACAGATCAAATGAACAGAGTGTATGCGGCAGGCCCCACCTGCTAGGTATGTCCACACTTCTAATCCCAGACAGAAATACGGCAATGCTACTGAGCTGATCCATCACTGTTCTCTTCCTCATTCTCCCCGTTCCATTTTTTAAGAATCCACACGTTCCTCTTTGAAGTTCTTTTTAACAGTGCGTCTATACGGTCACTGCCATAGTAATTTAGTTTCTAACTTTGGAGTACAGCTCTACAAGTGAGCTGAGCCTATTATGGCCTATTTATTGCCATAAAATATATCCCTATTTATGGCCATATGGTTCCATTGCCCCCCTTGTTCTGGCTGAACTGTCTGAAAAATATTTCCTCCCCCCACACATTTTCCTTCTTGCTTATGTAGTTTTCTGTCAGATTAGTGAGCAAAACTGACTCATCGGGAAGTTAGACAAGCCCCAGAGCTGGCAAAAGCAAGCATCCTCCTGAGCTCCACGGCAAAGAGCTGTTAGGATGATACCACCACCTCATGTAACCGCAGCTTAAATGTTCTGAGTTGCTACAGGATCAAACCAGGAACTGAAAGCTACCCTCACCTGGGTGCTTGCCACCTTCTACAAATGACTGTGAACAGCATCGTTCTGAACAGCAATATTGCTGAACAAACAGGCACGAAGCACCCAGCAGTGAATTAGCACAACTGACTTAGAGTCAGCAACGTGAAACGCAACATGCAAACCAGGTGCTCCCCGTATCTCTGCCAGTTGCTGCAATAGCAGAATAAGGGAGAAAAAGCACACCAACCCTCTTTCTGCACCGGTGTGGAACAACCCAGCATTTGCACCGTATACAACTATTGCACCATTCACAGCAGCAGCTTTTCTACAGACACAAAGCTGCAGCTGCGTTAAGACTTGCTCTGTATACGGTCTGCATATTTTCAGGACCGAGTCTAACTTCCAGATAATAAAATAAATAAATAAATTATATTGCAAAGTATATTAAAAGAAATTGCCTAAAAAGCAATGTGTGAAAAGAGTATTATTTATATTGCAATGCTGAGCACTCAAAAATTAGGAAACATCAGATTTACAGCTTCTTGTGCAATCTTCATGGCTTGGCTATTTAGGATTGTTAACTCCCTTAGGAGATGAGATTTTTCAGCATAAATTAACTTGTGCCCACACACAAAAGTGATTTTTTTCATCCTATGCCTGACCAATTTGATTCCAACTGTCTTTGGAAAAAAAAAAAAAACAGCCCTCTTTCAGGATAAGGCTTATGCAAATATATTTTGGAAAAAAACATTCCATTTGTGGTACTGTTCCCCACTCTGATTATCAGAGTCTGGTCTCCAGACCATCTGTTTATTCGTGTCTTCTCTAACCCTCCAAAGTTAGTTTGCCTGAATTTGACCTTTTTGGAAATGCTAGCACACAGACATGTACTCCCTCTTCAAGGCTGGAACTAATGATGATTTTACACACCGAGAATCCCACCCTCGGTATAGCAGCTCGGTCACAGAGCTGTTGCTGTTTCCACTGGGACCTGCTGCCCTCTGAACAGCCTGTCCAATCCCAATAGGAGCTATTGGAATTATCAGGCTCTGCAAGCAGCTCTCCGAGTACCAAGGGAGAAGCGGCAGTGACCTTCCAGAGGAAGGTGAGCACCCTTTTCTCAGCGAGAAGCAAGTTCTTGCACTGTTCCTGCTCCCTAGTGAACTCTGTACAGATCTCTACAGATACGACCTTCCCCACCACGGTTGTACTTCTGGCAGAGGTCCTTACGGCTCTGTATCCATCTCTTCTTCCAGCAGTCAGGACCACTGCGTGGAGTCATGTTAAAAATCTAACTGTTCAGTTTCCTCCTTTTCCTCTAGTAATATCCTTATGGCATCAGCACAGCTATTTTCCAAGAAATCCACGGCCATCTGGCAAAGTAGCAGCCCATGCATATAGAAAACTATGTTCACAGTAAATGACAGTTCACTTCACACTGCTCAGTAGTTGCTGTCCTGCACTGATTCCACAGGAGAAGTCCAAGCGGAGCATGGCATGACCACAGGAGGAATTATAGCAACATGCTTGTCTGAGCCAGTGCCCATACCCAGGCACTTCTGGTAGATCCTGCCAGGAAGGGGAGGATTTCTGCTCAGAACGTTCTATGTTTAATCTTAAAAACTACAGAGTCTCTGTACAAGAGAAGTGGCTGAGGTAGGACAGCAAAAGTTCAGATGCAAACTTTTGGGACAGTCGTATTTAGGTCAGGTACCAGCATAAACTCAGCCACAGAAACCTGGAATTCAGCATGGGCTACACACCACAGCTTTCACCAGATCTACTAGACAGGAACGGGCAGACACGCTAGGCATCTGGGTAAAGCCTACACTGCAGCAAAGACAAAAGAGTGACTCCAGTGCAGACAAACCGCTACTATGAATGAGCACATTTGCTACCTAAATAACGTGAAATAGCGTGTTTTCAGAGAAGCTATTCCTACACAACTTGCCTGGGACTTTCCATAAAAAAATACTGCCATACGCAAAAGTAATGACCTCGCTCATATCTCTGGCACCACAGATGTCTAGCAGTTGAGCTTCAGGAATAACTGCTATCAGCAAACGGTAGGAGAATGCTGTTGTCTCTTTTACTGATCCCAGCGCCATGAGAGGGGGGTGACTGTTTCAGCTCCTTCTCTTTCACATACTGTGATCTGCAGAGCTCCAGTCCCACGTGGTCTCACTGTGCACTCTGGAAAGTTACTGCTAAACTGATGCACATGGAGTCAGCAGGTTCTGGAGTTAGACCTTCAGTTAGAGAGAGAAAACAGATCCACCCAAGGGGGCAGCCTGAACATGCAAACAAAGATCTAGACACAGGTGAGAATCCCAAGCTTGAAGGACTGGATTGTGTTTCTTGGGGCATTCTGAATCCATTCCTTTTTACTAAAGAAACGCTAATTTAAGGAATTGAAATACCAAGTTAAACACTTTCAAAACATCTGACCACATGACTAGCAATTTTCCCATAAATCCTCACCGTTGGGATGGAAGGGAATGGTGTTGAACTTAACAGTTGGAGGGACATCATTGTACTTTTCACTGTATGTCAGTGACAGCTGAAGAACGGCCCCTATCACAGAAAAAGACATTAGCTGTAAGACGCTACATTGCATTTATCAAGCACAGCACCAAGTTTATATCTGAGCAGTGTTGTTTCATTTACTCCTTCTGTGCTCAGTCAGGTCCAGTTGTGTTTAGCTTTCTCAGTCCCCTCCGAAAACCACAGCCTGAATAATGATGCATTATGTGAAAAGACCACAATTATCTGCTCAGAGATCAGACGTCATATGCTGTGTATTAAACAAGTTACACAAAAAACTAGCGTGTTTTCACTGATAACTAACACTAAAAAGCCAACCGAACATTACTGCACACTTACATCTGCTTAAAGTATTTTTTAGCAAAACCTACAGGATGAAACATCAGAAGTAAACGCACAAGTTGCATGCGATATTGTGAAAACTTTGTCCTTAGGTGCACGACAGACCTTCCCAGAGCGAATCCTTGAGGCCTTGGATTTCAGCTAACCATTCCAGGAAGTTATCACTGACAGGCCTGGCAAAAATGCCCTGAAATGAAGAAATGAAATGAACAAAAAGAAGATAAAGCTCAGCCCTGAAGTACTCATCTGCCTTAAAAAAAAAAAAAAGCTAGATTAATCTTTGGAGTTTTCCAAGTTCTTTGGTGAAAGTATTTTAGAGGCAGGACAATACGTTATTGAACGTCACAATGGCAAAGCAGCACGTATCCTCTCGGCGGATGCCGTCCGGCTCCCTGCCCGTCCTCATCGCCCTGCCCGCGCTTCCCAGCCAAGTCCGAGGAGCAGCAAGACCTACGAGAGCGGCGCGATGGCGGGCCAGAACAGTTGTTTAAGCAACGCCAGTGCTGCTGAAGCTTTTGGGGTAACACCAAGGGGAAACGACACGAGCCGTCGTTAAAAGACAGCAGACTGCGATTTCCGCTGCCGGAAAGCTGGGGGCGAGGGGGCCAACGCGCCCCGAATGGGGGAAACCCAGCGTTTGGCCAGGAAACACCACAGCAGCTTACTGCTCGGTGAAGGAGTTAGGGAGAGGCTGGAAAAAGGGCCGGGTTTGGGGTGCCGCCGTCGCCG